ACAAATATATCTTTTGAATAAACTGCTTGAACTTATTGTTCTGTTAGCGATGGAGCTGAGCTAAAGAGTTTGCTAACTGACTGTTAGTATACAGAACAATACAGTTAAAAAAAGAAACTGGTGCGTTAGCTGTTAGCTCACCAGCTACAGCAGTTCTTGTTACAGACGTGCAGTGTATTTAGCCTCACACGCAAACAAAAACATTGTTATGCCATCAAGGTGTTGATTGTGGTGTAGGGTTAATGATGGCTGCTACAATCTATTGTATGATTTTGACAACAATAATTTCAAGTTTCAACAAACCATTAACCTGACACTCACTTTTCTCAAAAAGACTGAGAAAGGGATGTCAGTAAAGGTGTCTAACAGACTAAAAAATCTATGTGAGTGACATGAGGTTGAGATACTGATATCGCAGCCACTATAATTAAATATGGTTTCATCTTTAGCACACATTTATCTTTGTCATCGTAACACTTTAAAAGCTTCAGCAACCTATGAATAGAGATTACTGACATTCTGTCCTTTTGTCACCTTCCTAATTGCCTCTTACTAACTGTTCTCAGGAACAGCAAAGATAACTCCACAGCGTGATTACATTTAAGACCTGCCTAATAAAATAAGGAGGAAATTTGAATTCATTCTGACATACATCATCATTGTTGTCTTTGTGTAGCAAAATCGAGGATGCCCACTTTTTATTTTTATTATTATTATTTATTTTTGTCTTTTAAAGCGCACTTTGGACTCCAGACTTGTGGCTTTGTGGTTCCAGGGTCCATGTGATGCTGTCAAAGCTTGCTACACACAGAAAAAAAAAATTTCCTGTTTTTATATTTTTACCAGTAGTGATGCAAAAAAAACGTTCAATTAAAATTTATTCTTCACCCACTATTATTAATCTTAAAACTACTTTCTTTTTTTTTTTACATTCAACTTATATAGCTATTGATATATAGCAGTGCACCTATTGCTATTTGAATGCAGCATGTCTTTTCACAGGAAATAATGAAGGGCAATGCTGAATATGTTATGTTTGTCAGAGATTTTCTGCCATGGTCACTGGCTAACCATCAGAAAGCAAACATTAACTGTCTGTGTAGTGCAAATGTATTTTTGCAAATGCATGTTTGGTGCCATCTGGTGACTTCAAGCATTGGACTTGAAGGATTTAAAAAGCAAGTTCCAGGCGCCTGATGTATGGAATAGAACAGCTGCCATAATAGAACTTGAATTGGTCTGTAGAATAATGAACACATCTCAAAACACACCAAGTTTGCGAAACATACTTAATTGGGAAGACCCTCAGGCCCTATAATCTTACGGATAAATTGAACACTGCAGTGTACCATGCTGTTACATAATAGATTGTTTTTCTAAGTTGCTCCTACATGGAAGAAGGGCGTGTCTCCACACTCCAGTGGGAGCACAGTCGCCAGTAAAAGGATTTTTGAAATGAGAGTCATACAGTGTGTTGAAATTTGTGACTGATATAGGGAGGTTCCCACTGGAATCTGTCGCTAGCTATCACCTGTAACAACAACATGTAATCAGTTAAGGAATACCTGGGAGATTGTTTCATTCTAAGCATGTCAGAACATGAAATGTGGGTCTTGATGAAATACATGTACTGAAATGAGCTGCAGTTTGTCCCTTAAGAGCAAAGAGGTGAGTTTACTGAGAAAATATGAATTCATGTGAATTAAGGTTTAAACTGCAAAGTAAATGATGATCTAAAATCTGAAGATTAAAATAATTTTCTTGAAATGAGTCCTTAATCCTTCAAGATATAGAGGTGATATCAATACCACCCATGTCTGATGTCAAGGCAAATATGCTGACAGAGAAATGTTTTGTAATTAGTTTGATTTCCTAAATTACCAATATTGATAATATTTACTATGTAATGTGAGTTAGGTGGCCTTAGTACTTCTTTTTGAGTTAGGATTTTCCATAAAGGGAAGGTGTATACTCATTTCACATGGGATACGCCCATGCTTGTGTTGTGAAGGAAGAACTGTAGAGGTGTAATCACACAAGGGAGACTCTTTCCACCTCTCTGCAGGATCTGAGAAAAAGGAACTTGACGCTGCTGTCTAGCAACTTACGTGATTAACTCCAAAAGGTAAATATAATTACTACTTACAGCAAGATTATAGCTTAAGTGTGATCTGTCTGTCTCTGTCTATAGAAAACCTTTTCTAATCATTCTCAGATAAAAGCAGTTCTCATATATTTAGGCTATATTTACATTTTATACACGCATACTGATACATTCATTTCAGGGGATCTAAATGAGAAGAAAATCAGCTTGGTTTGACTATGAAAGTATTACCTTTTCGACTTATGACCTAAATACTCAGGTCTTTTCTTCACATCTGTTATATAAAAGAAAAGTATCTATTTACTGCACAATACTTGGGCAAATGGTGACCTATTAGCTATACATAGATATACAGTTCTAAGCAGTCAGTCCCGTTCCTCTTGTAGCCAAGATGCCAGAAACAGCCGAAGCCGTGTCAGCCACTCTCACCACCAACAGAAACTGCACCATAGAAATAACCAACGTCAGCGGAAGCTACTGCCTCATCAATCCCAAGTAAGTCTGTAAATATATTTACCAATTTAATACATGTGATTAAATGAACAGAAAATTGCAGTGTTCAAACCGGAATGGAGAAAGACACAAAAATGTTTACCTAAAAAAGTACAAATTACTGAATGGCCTGAAACAGTGCATGCAAAGATAATGCATTGAAATTATATTAATTGTAATTTACTTTTTTCTTGGGTAAAATGTATCTCTAAATTGGAGGTCAGTGCAAGTTAGCGAGGTCTACATATTAATCACCTGCATTCACATGTTTTCTGCACAGAGGTAAATTACTGCATAGAATCATGGCTCATGTACTCAAGTTTGATTGGTTCCAGGGAGACATATTCCTTTTCAAAAAACTTTGAATGCAATGCATTGCTTTGAAGTGCTTTGAGAATGCAATGCCTGATTACAGCTAAAACTCAGCATCTTGATATTAGCATGCAATCCCTTCAGAAAAACTCACAAGTATCACAACTTTTTCATAGAAAAAGCAAAGATTTCCTGCATGAAAAGTCTAGATTAATTAAAAGTGGTTATACTGTACTTAATTATAGGTAATGCTCAGTGATATTGTAAGTGAAATGTCGGTGCACAATATTTTTAACATGAATAAATTAAATTTGGTTGGTGCCAATTCAGCCTGTATCAGCAATGCAATCTGCTTCTTCCACTTCTGCTAAAAAGGGGTAAATGAAACAATACAATAAAACAATAAAATAAATAAAAATGAACCATGTGTATTGGAATTTCTACCATGCTTCTACATTTATCTAGCTGTGGCAGGACAGACCATATCTTGGATGGGTGGTTTTCATGTGTGACATCACTTTGCTGCAAACATCCACCTATCCATCATGCAGTGACACACACTGCCTCATTGCACATCGTATGCAGGTACACTCACTGTTGCTTAGAAGTCCACAGGAGTACTTGTACAGTCACACTCCATCCATCAGCATAAGGTATATCAGGTAACCTGGAAAGCCCAACACTCAAAAAGTAAACTGACAATCTCCACAAAACTTACAAAACTCAGTTTTTTCATCAAAAGTCTGGGCAGGATGACATAAAAGTTATCAACTGATTGGTAGTGATGGTAAGAATTTTTCTTCTTCTCTCCTCCTCCTAGGGTGTACATGACAAGTGGCTTCTGTCAGCACCCGCCCCAGCCTTCCATTCGTACCACTAGGACCGAAGTGTGCTCCTTCACCAAGGACGACAACACTGCCACTGGCGCTGTCGGCCTGCTGACCTACGACCTGTTCCATATGCAGAGCCGGGTTTGCTCCGAGCGCATGGCCATCATGTTCTCTGTGCCCTTTGACCACAACCTGTACAAGAACCGGCTGGCCGTGGGTGCGGTTGAGCATTCCCGTGACTGCGACAAACATCTGTACGACCAGATGTATGATGGGAAAGACCTCAGTAACTTTACCCGCTCTGACACAAGTGGCTGTGGGCTGCTATATAAAGCTACATATGTTGATTTGAGGGCTACAATGTCTAGTGTTGGCAAGGCTATTGTTAAAGTGGAGCTCTATGATAAAATGGGCCGTTAGTGTGGAAAATTCTACTGATATTCTGCCTTTTTGTACTTTCTTGCTTTTGTACCCGACAGAATAATAAAATTTCATTTGATTTAACTACTGTTGCATGTTGTCATTCAGCAAAAACATCCTGAGGAGAGGAAGACTGATTTTGCTGTCATCTTTATTTTGTGTCCACTGAAAGATATCAATATCTGACAGCCAGCTCATTGATTCTCCATTAGCTTATTTCTTGGGCTTATGTATATTCCACACTCCCCTTTTCTTTGATTATGGTAATAAAAAATTTAAAAAATGCAGACTCAATGCTTGTTGCTTTGTGTGGGATGGGTTTTTACTACTCAGTATGCTTTCATGATTACTGATGAACAGTAATCATTTTTTAATCTCTTAGCTGGATCCATCCAATTCTAATGAGTAGCAACAGATGGAATATCTGCATAGATGTTTTTTTAATCGGCATGATAACAATATTGTTCTTCACTGGCTGTGAGATTCTCCATCTCTCTCTGAAGTGTGTGGTTTTTGTGTGGTATTTGAAATGAAAGAGGTTCAACAAAAGACAGAAAAAGAGTAAAGTAGCTCCAGAGATGTCTGTCTTAACTTGTATAGTTTTTCTCTGTTGCACAATACCACAGGAATGAGATTCCCAAACCATCTCACTCAGCCAGACATCCATGTACCCACAATCCTGTCGGAGCGTGCTGAGTGGATTACCTAACAGGCCTGCGACACAATAAGAAACTATTTACTCTGTCACAAACTAGGGTGTGGCAGTTTCATCCCACAGGGGAAAACACAGGAACATTTGTTCTCATGGTGTATTTGTGCGGCTGGTAAATGTGTGTTGAAAGAGGGTGTATACTCTCCGACTTGGATTATGTTGCAAGTGGGAGGGTTTTCTGGGTAGTTGCATACATCCTTGTTAAAAAAAAAAAAACCTGTGGGCACCTCCCTTTCAGGTAACTTTTCCCACTCTGGGACTTGAGAGCAGCAACAGAAGTTCTCAGCAGGTAAGTCACTTAGAACATTTGTGAAAAAATTATTTTAAGAGGCATTCAAGAGAAGGGCTCATTAGCTCTTAACTAAGAAATAAAGCAATTTGTAGAGGCATACAGAAGCCTGATGGGGCATTTGTTTGATTTGTTTCTTATATCTGTTGATAAAAGGGCTGATCATTTTCTCTAGCGTTTTCACTCTAACTTCATTATTCTATGCTACTTAGTGCTGTAATTGAAGAGGTACAATCTCTAATGAGGCAAGAAGAGTCTGCAGCTATTCTCTGATTGTTCACAACAGTTTTTAAAACTCATTAGCCTCTGAAATGCATCATCCATACCCATTTCCAGTCTATGTGCACTTTTAAAGGTTAGTGTAATGCCAATACAGCAGAGCAGAGGTCAGGATGACATTTTATGTTGTAATAAGTGGGATTTTTTATGAGTCCCAGTGTTTAGGAGTGGAGGGAAGTGCTAGTCACAGCTGGTATGTTGTTCAGTTCAGCTGGTTAACATCTCAATTACCTTTGTTTGACAAGCAGATCTCAGAGCAATTCCAAAATGACAGAGTCAGCTGAAGCAGTTGCAGCCGATGTGGCCAGCAAGAGAAGTGTTACCGTCGAAATCTCAAATATCACTAACAACTACTGTCTCATCAACCCTAGGTAAGCCCTGACTGTGTTAGAGTCATGTATTTTCAGGCTTGTTTAAAATATGTCCTATAGATCCAAAAATATATCTGTAATGCATGTTTCTATTTGTGTGCTGCTTAGGGTTTACCTCGACAATGGGGAGACATACAACCCACCTCAACCCACAGTGCGCCCTCTAAAGACTGAGGTCTGCACTTTCACCAAGTCCAGCGGTAAAGCAACCGGCAGCATTGGTGTCCTGACCTATGACCTTTTTGAGAAGTCACAGAATGACTACATTGAGACTCTAGCCATCATGTTCTCAGTTCCCTGGGACTACAACCTGTACAAGAACTGGTTTGCAGTGGGAATCTATAAAAAGGGCCGTAACTGTGATAAGGATTTGTTCAAAGAAATGTACTACGAGAAGAAGCAGCAAGAGCATGGGTTTGTCAGGGAGGAAGCCACTGGGTCAGGTATCAATTATGTGGGCAGCTACTTAGATATCAAGGCCACCATGTGCCCGCTGGGCAAATCCATCATGAAGGTAGAGGTGTGGGATAAGCTTTTCACACCCATGGGTCAGCAAGCGTACTAGAGACCCCTCCTAACAAGTGTCCCGTGCTGCAGAATTCATCCCTCCATCTCAAGCTTTTCCCTGGAAGACAGTTTCTAATACAGTCAACACGCATGATTTAACAGATGTATTGTTGCTGACATGTGTCTGTATACCTGGGTATTACCCTTCAGTAAATCTGCTTAAGATCAGAGTTTAGTTTGTTTATATATCCAGGCAGCAATAACCCCCCCTTTTATAGCCAAAGTCTCTGTCTATTTCAATAGCATCCGGTTTTAAAATGGTTTCTTTAGAAATGAAAATCAAAGGATGACTCACCAGAGGACGAGGGCTCATAGCTTAATAAAACATACTGAGAGCTTGTCTGTATTTACCTTGACACTGTAATAAAATAAACCCTTTTCTGAAGCTATTTGTGTATGTCTGTTGATTGAGTTCAGAAAAGCGCAAAAGTGCTTAAAAAGAAATGGAAACTAAAGTTTTTAATGCAAAATTGTGATTTTTGTGCATGCATATCTGAAGCATGCTCTGCATATTTGCAATGGATTCAGAAGGATCAGTTTGAAGTGAAATTTAGATTCAAAGGGTGCCGTTTTTTTTTTCCAAGGGTGTGTCCGTATGGTGCTCTCTTACAGCACCATACTGGCACACCCTTTTCTCATGTTGCCCCGCATTAAAGTATAACAAGCACCACTAATATTTACAGTACACCAAAGATCATGTAAAAATGTAGGACTAAACTAATTAACTGCAAATCGTTAACAAATAGGTTGCCATTTTGTTCATATTTAATATTCTGTATAATTTTTAGAAACGATTATGACCATTTTTTGCATCTTTTCTGTGGTCTCTATGAAGTGGATTTCTATTATATTATATATATATATATATATATATATATATATATATTATATAGTCAATATATATATATATTATAATTTTCTGTGATTTTTAAAATCTGCAACTGAATTGCTAAATTCTGTGGAAGCTTCAGGGTAGCTGAGCAGTCAGAACACCAGAAACTAAACAGACTGATGTCTACAAATCAGTTTTGTGACAAATATATCCTAAATAATGCCTCTACAAACACATAAATGAAAACAAATAGTCATAAAACCATGTGTCATAAAGATGTTTTTAGGAGACTCAGTAGCACAGTAAGTACCATGATGTTTGAACTAAAGAAGGTTTTAAATGTCTGCTTTGCCATCCTGGCAGTACTAGTGGGAACACAAAAATGTGTCTGGAACATATTTACAGGTTAATTTTTTGGAACCAGTAAACTCAAGGAGAAAATGAATTGGTACATTTTCTTTGTTTTTTAGATTATGATCTTGATTATGCAGTAATAGTGACTGAGACAGAAATGGGTTTAGGTGAAGACCCTATTATTTTGACTGCTCAGCAACTCATTACACTTAGTGAAAGCTTTATAATTCTTTAATTGGGAAGAAATGACAATCTTGATGTGCTATCTCATCCTCAAACAACTTGTTTTGCAGTAATGGCACAGCCAATTTTGTGTAGCTACTGTCATTAACCTTAGGAGAATATAGGGTTCTAAAGCAGGAGGCAGTATGTCAGCTCTTAATTTACATCACAGGCGAAGTTATCAGGTTCCCCCGATTGTATTTACAATCTCAACACTGCATTCCTGATTCTGTTTTCCCATTAGATTCATGATGCTTTCTCTGCATTAACTGTTCCAGCCACAATGAAGCCCAGATCAAAGGTTTTTGCTCACTGTCACCGTTGCATTTGCATGAAAGCAATACATAATATAGAGGCATAAACTAGGCCTGTTTAGGCTCAATCCCTGAGGCATTGTAGCATACTGTATTGGAGAAATGATACACGGTCCCTATAAACAGATGGGGATACTAAGCAGAAACTTTTGTTTGTCACAGCTTTAAAATGGTGATAAGTTCCCACACATTCCTTTCATATTTTTCCTTTCAATCTATCCCCTATGTTTACTGTACCTGCACATAAGTCTTCTTTCATGTTTTGTGTTTTATTGTTTGCTGTGTGTGTTTGTGAGTGAGTGCCTTACGTTTGTGTTTACGTACAGTAGGCTAAATGTGTTTGCACGCTTTTGTGATGAGCATCTCTGAGTGTGTACACACGCACCTGCTAATGCAGAGATGGATATTTCCTATCAAATACATTCTTTTGTGCATTATGTGATTTGTATTTAACAAGTCTGACAAAAATATTTCAAGAACAGGTGGGATTAGACTTCTTTGACAGGAAACAAAAGATATGTGAATTTTTTATTTTCCTGTGTAGATAAACTAAAGAGGCTCAGCCTTTGTGGATTGAAACTGATGTTATTCACCACTAAACAGCAGTGAACCTAGCTGTTTGTCATGGTAAAAGCTTCTGTAAAAATCCTTCCAGGATGTTAAAAGGAAGAGAAGGTGGATGAGTGCAGGTGCACCGCCAAAGTCAACACGCCGGCATGTCTTTTCATACGATATAAATCAGTTGACCACATTAAAACAACAGTAGGGCTCAAGTAACCGAATGCAAGAAGATGAGAGAGGTGAAATGGAAAAAACAGGGATTTTGCCACGGCAAAAAAAATCTTACAGCCTGTTAGAGCCCTTCAAATTTTCACATCATATTTTCCTTATTTTGACAACACAAAGGAATGTTTAACTCTTAATTAATTCACTTAGTTGAACTGGTAGTTTTCATGCTACAAATAGAAAGAAGCTGAAGATTGAACGCAGCAGCATGCATCTCCTCTCCCTGTTATCATCGCCAGCTGTTATCAACATCATACAGTGGCGGTGTTTCTTCAGAGCCTAATGATTGATATATTTTAATTTTTCAGACTCTCAACAAAGCTGAGCTGATCAACACATTAACTGGGAGAGTCAGATCAGTAAATGTATTTGCATCAAAGGTTCAGCTTCCAAGTTTGTTTGAATTCATTGAAGTCATTCTGTTTGCTTTGGAACTAAGCCTTCAGTACATGAGAATTGTATTGTATATTGACTCAAACTGGGAGTGCCCAAACCGAAGCATAAAATAATTTCATTTCAATGATCTGAGGTTTGAGTATGAAATGCAGCCTTTTCAACAGCCTGAACCACTATATGCAATACAATCAGGATAATGCATATTCTTCTCTCTCAAAGTGAATATAAGTATACAGTATATGAAAGGTTTCTCAGTGCTATCAACTACTAAATATGCTCTCAAATATTGCTATCTAGTATGGATGCTACTGTATGTTTCACTCGCAGTGGTTCAATAAAAAGTTCTTCACAAAAAAATATTGCCATCTAGGGGCCACCTTTGATATCAAGTGTGCTTACACAATTCACAGCTTAAATACCATAAAGTAGGGAAGGGAAAAAAGGGAATTTTCCAAGCTATTTTTAAAATATCTTTGAGACTCATACTACTACATACTACAGTGACAGTAAAATATAATGTATACATGCAGAGTGAGGACTGGTTTTAAGCAGAGAAGTTTTTGTCTTTGTATCCTTAGAAACCATTATTAGCAGACAGTAGTTTTAAAGCGGATCACCCTGTGTCTTCTCCTTCTATCCTTGGCTCTAAACAAGTCTTGACATCCAGCATGGCCTGGTTGAAAAGTTCACTCTGTGTCCACCCTGATGTGTGTCAGGCTGGCAACAGTCGCCTGCAGCCCCGTCATCGGAGCTCAATTACAGGCCACAGTCTCAGTCAGTTTCCCCTCCAGAGACTCTACCAGGGTAAAACAATAAAGTCAGATGTTTCTAAGCTAGGCTGGAGTTGCATTGTTCTGCATGTTTGTTTTGTTTTTCAAAATTCTGTGGTTCATATTTCGCAGACTGTGGATGAGATGTGAGGGTCGAAGGTCATATTATTCCTAGCAGGCTTTGGGAATTGTCTCATCATGTTAGTTTGTTATTTTGGAGCTTTTCATCATGCAGAATGAAACAGATCTGTATCATGTAACAATACAGATAACTTGGGGGGGGGGACACTTTGTTCGGTCTACAGTACTTTTTCATTATTACAAGAAAATGACCTGCCATGATGTTTCTTTCTTCAAAGGCTATAATGTTGGTGATTCTTGTAATAAATATTTTGTTTTAAAATGTCAGTTTGTAAGATGAAACAAATCTTATTTAATTCCATTTCCTATTTTATTAAACCACCAAATCATCACCAAATGTCATTTATCTTATCACTTAAGTTGAGCTATACAGAAACTACGTCCAATACCAACCCCAAATTTTGTCGTATGTGATACTAAGGTAAAGTATGTAAACTACATTGCATGAGTATGAGCAGTGAAACTGAAAATTGAGCTGTTATTGTTTTGTTTTTGTTTTTGTTTTGAAGAGACAAGATAATAATGCAAACACACACACAATGTTTCTTTTTAAAGCATCTTCAATCAACACTTAATGATAATAATCGATAACAACATGCTCACAGTGATGAACCCACAGAAATGTATCACCTGAGCTGCAATTTAACTGTTTTGCTTCGCTCTCTCATGTTGTCATAGCATTTGTTTTTTGGCTGTCTTTGGCAAAAAAAAAAAAAAAATTAAAAACTGTATGCAACCTTCCCAGCATCAAACAGCAGTTACTATCAGACTGGTGAATATAGTAGAGCATTTAACAGCTAAATAGTCAGATAATTTCCTCAGGAGTTAGTGGACATCAAGAACACAGAGAGTGACTATTGGATTTACATTAATCTACTGCTTGTTTCCACTGCCCCCAAGTGGTGACAAAAGTTATTATTGTAGATTTTAATTATCCATGGATTATTTTGTAGAGACTTACCAAAATGTTTAGATAGTCTACAAACCCAGGTTACAGTCTACAGTGGTGATGTGCTGTGACTCTCCTTGAGCCCCTACATGAGGACTACACATCCTTTTTTACTCTTTATATCTTTATATTCACCCTCTTTGTCTGAGCCCTCTAGTTTTTTCTCTGGTAGACCAAATCTTCCTTCAAGTTGTCCAGCTGCAGCTCCAGGTCTTATATATTTCAGGGACAAATCTTTAAGGCTCTTTATCAAAACAACAATGTTAACCTTCACAGGTTGGTCAGGCCCTGCTCCTTTTCTATCATCCTCAAAAAAATATTTCTGTCTCTTGTCACTCAAATTTTAAGCTGGCAGTGGAATGTGGTTGTTTATGCTATGAATTTCTTTGATTTTATTATGACTGATCGAGCAGCACTTTTGATGTCAAACCTACTTGAATGTACAGTGATCTGCTGCCAGCTTGGTGTCATCCAGCTGAAGGGTCAGCTCTGACACAGCAGGGCCAGCTGCCTGGATATCACACAACAAAGTAATTACTCATGTCACACTGAATGACTCGCATGAATGGGTGCAATCTTTTAATTCTCATCAAGTCTGGCAAAACTCCAGTCTACAAGTGTTCCAATAAACTAGTCGGCGAAAAAAACATGTAATGCAGACAGATTTTTATAAATAAAGACATCTATAAATGCAATAACTCATCAATAACTGGGCTCGCCACCAGGAAGCTGACCTTCTCTGGCCAGCTGTGGAGGTTGACCAGCTGTCACTGATGCTGCTGAATGCTTTTTCATAAGAAGCATTGAAGCTGACACTATCAGCCACCTCAATTATTTCCACAATCGAGGTCCCCAGCCACACAACGTCTACTAAGACTGCCAAAGGAACTAGCAGTTGATGTACAGATGCCCTTACCCGCTGTCCTTCCAACCACTCAGCCAGATCACTGGGACATAACAGTCATCAGCTCCCACGATGAGAAGACCCAGAGGCCGGGACAGAGGCTCCGGAGCCAAAACACACCACCCTGCAACTGAAGACGCAGCTGCAGAGAGGAGGATCTTCTGTAAATGCAATATATGTCTCAGTTCAAGAAAGATGTAGCCATGTATCCTTGGGTGTATCACATATTTTCTCATCTAAAGGTCACTATGAGTAATGTTAGAAAATGCTTAATTCTTGTGCTCAGTCTCAGTTTTCATCATATTCATCATTATTTTCACTTCAGTAATTTTCACCAATCAAGTATAGTACATAATATTTCCTCTCTAATTTGTCAATCAGAACTATCTCTGTCAGATTTTACATAATAAAATATATCTGGAGGACTGCAGGCATGCTCCCTGGTCCATTTCAGAGAGCAATTCTACCCTAACAGCATCAAGTCAACCCACTTCAGTGTCAGCACAGATCACTGAAAGGCCCATGGGACTGTGTTCAGATGAGCTGATTTATATACAAGTTCAGGTATCTTAAAATGTTCTGTAATTATCCTGTGCGTAGCTAAGGGGCTGGACAATAACCTCTTGGCCTTATACTGCTTTGAAAGATTCCTGGTGATAGCAGTATAGCTGCAAAGAAAAGCCCAGATCTATCTAAGGACATCAATTTTGTATTGTCCAATTTTACAATTACAATCACAGACATTTTTGTGCTGTCACATACATCATATATATATATATATATATATATACATATTATAATATTTGAGAAATATTCCATTGCTCATAGAAAAAAACGGGGCCCCCTTAAGCTCACCTGGTAGAGCTGGCACCCCATGTAACAAAGGCTGAGTCTGCAGCAACCATGGGTCTGAGTCTGACCTCAGGCCCTTTACTGAATGTCATCCCCTCTTTCTGTATCCCTTTTCCTGTCAAGCTTCAGCTTTCCTATCCAATAAAGGCAAAAAGCCCAAAATATATATACTATATGTTACAACTCCAGATTTTGCCTGAGAACCATCAAATGTTTAGGTTTTTTTCATATCTTCTTCTTTTCAAAGTAATCCAGTGATAGTTGTCTGTACAACTGCACGGTACACTGCACATAGGATCTGTCAGTATCAGACATCCAAAGCCTCTAGCTCAAAGATTTAAAATAGGGAAATTAACACAAAAATTATTTTACAGAACTGAGTGCAGGTATAAATTAGTTCTCAACTTTGTCACTAGTTTTCCATTCCTCCTTAAAACTATACTGAGGGGAAAAAAGGTAACTCTGGGTTAACATTTTTTTTAAAAGTTAAGTTAACCTTTTTTAACATTTAACTTTTCTTTTAGTTGACAATCATGTTGGTAACTGCTAGTATTAAAACTTGCTACTGAGTCATGAAGCAGTTTGTCACTATATCACATAAAACCACTAGGGGGCAAGGTTTCCTGACTGATAAAAACAAATGTACTCTATATTGACCTGGGATATTTGACTTGTGCACTGTACGCATGCACATATTGTTTTGTGAAACAATCAATGTAATGTGAACTATAAAATATGATTAATATCGTTTTCACAACCACATCTTGCAAAATGGCATTAGGAATGGTTTCTGGCTTGCTGTAACAATAAGGAGTAGCCTAACACAGAATTGCATGAGATCAGAAGGGGGTGGGGAAAAGGATGACCCGACATCTAGAGAGGAAGAAGGTCACCAAACACACTTTCCCACCCAGCCCTGCCAGACATACACAAACGCAGGCCCACCCTGCAGTGTTGTGTTTGCCAGATGAGGGTGTGATACATGACTGCTGTCACTGCTTCCTTCACTACATCAGCACTTGCACAGCATAGCAACTGCGCCACAATATACCGTGCTGCTCGTTGAAGATACAGTGAAACACTACCTGAGGCGCAAAGCAGTGCTATCTGCGCTGCACTTAAGGGAAATGATTGTTTAATCAAATACTGACAAAGGTTAAAGGGTACTTTTGCCAGAATGATACCGCAATTTTGCTGGTTTTCATTTACTCGACAGTCTAGATAAGTAACAATAAGAAGCAGTAAATATTTCAACTGTAGATTTAATTGCATAAAATATTAAAAAAAAGTATATCAAAATACATACAGTTCATGGTGTGAGAGCAGGTAGAATGTGTTCTCTCAGACAGTACAGTAAGTCTATTAAGTCCTGACAATGGCAGAAATAAAACACAGTATATAAATACACAATTTGTTTCCAATCTGAAAGCACTTATCATGGCTTTACCGTCATTCAATACTGATTGAAACATAATCATATTATCGTGATCAGGCAGAAGATAACATTTTTATCTTCTTGTCGTTGCTCAGTGTTTATCACTATAAGACAATATCTATTTTTCTGAATTGGGTGGAGATGTTAGATCCACTTTGCTTCAATTAGCTCACCATATAATCATGAGGATTGTCATTGTTTGGACAGAGGAAAGTGCTGAAGGATTTCTTAATGTTCAGAAACAGACAATACCAGGAAAAAGATCTACTTTTCTACACATACCCACTCATTGTGTCCCATCTGTAACCTCTGACCCCAAACCTTACATACACTGTGACTCACATAACCAGATCTGTACATCAGACTTTACTCATTTTCCTGTCCTCCCTGTCCACATAATAAAGACCCTTTTCATAAGACAAACATGGACACCTACCTGTATCCAATTCAGACATAAAAATGTTTTAGGTTGCACATGTTCTCGGCATACATACTGTACATTGTCTAATTAATGGCTCAAAGCAGTGTTTAGTTTGAGTGGTAGTAAAAAAAAATGCATAAAAAGAATTCAGCAATAAAACATATCTTGTCTTTTATCAACACAACTGCTCTCCAACATAATGAGGAGTGTCAACACAAATATATTTTGCCTTTATTTTTGCAAGCTCTGGAGCTTTTGTTAACATAACCCTGAAACCCTAAAAATCAAGCTCTGTGTTTTTAATAGTGTGTGCAAATTGAATGTGACCAATATAAAAAGGTTCAGATCTTGAGTCAGGTGGTTGAAAATATAACATTTGTCACAGTATGGTACAGAAATTTAGAATAACATAGATTTCGTCACAGTGAGTATCTGCTAACATCAAAGTATGTGTTATTGAACAGCCGCAATAACGCAATAATAAAAGTGATGCTGCAGATTATGACATTCACTCTACATCAGTGTCATCTTCTCGATTTCATTTTTCTCTTTGGCTGATAGTCCTTCAGTCCTCTCTAAAGTCACTGGTGAAAAGAAAGCGCAGCAGTACATGTGTCCTCAGGTTGAGATACGAGGGAGAGGGTAGGTCAAAAGCATAATATTCTTGGTGACAGTGAGCAGAGCAGAAATTCAGGATTTTCAGGAGCTGCCATCCCCATTCTTGGTCTTAAGCACCACTAGGCTAACCATGATGGGGATCAGGCAGATGGGAGTTATCACCAGGGCAAAGACGATGGATGGTGATGGGTCGCTTAGCTCCTCTGTTGGACAGTCCTTGAAAAACTCTGCGTGAATGTCCACAAAGGTCTTTTCCACCAGAGGGTTGGGCCATGGGATCAGGAGACAGTCAGATATCTCCTCTGTGCAATAGCTTAGGTCACTATACAAACTGCAATGTGAAGACAAGGAGTGTGTGGTAGATTATTCAGACATTGGCAAATATTTAACAATATCTTGTTAAAAATAATTAACTGCAAATATAAACACACTACTTACCCACTCACGTTACGCCAAATGCACCACTCAGTGTTGTTTAGTGATGCCATCGAATTGTTAAATTTCAGGAGACATACATGATCAAACATGATGGAAAGGCAATCCATTGTTGGTCCACCAGAAATACTAAGACAGATTTCGCAATATTCCATACAAAGGTGAGAATTATTCCCACAAGCTGCATGAATTACAGAGTTAAAGAGAGAAATAGAAAAAGAGTCACAAAGAAAAAGAGAGACAGATTAGAAAATGACAATAAAAGATCTCAAATAAAATCAAATAAAATCAAATTCTCTGTTGATAGAATGATATAAGGTTGTGTATGACTATGCATAGATATGAAGTAATGTCACCTACCAAATGGCAAGGTAGACTGTCCATTAGTGGTATCTAAAACAGAGAAAAACAAAATTTTTAGATTAAATACCCTTACATCAAACAGTAGACTATATTGGCAGTTTTCCAATCTGCCATTAAATGCCCCCTCTAACTCAGTTTAGTAGAAGTTCATCAAAGACATACATTCTAAACACATGCAAAGAGTATTTTTGTCTGCTGTAACTCATGAGTTTCTTCACTTCTAATACTGAGGCAGACATTTACAACTGTAGAAGGGAGACCACACACTCACCGGAGAGAACGGAGAGGAATACCCCAATGAAACCAAGCGCTCCCTTCATGTCAGAAAAAATGAATAAAGGTGCGTTTTCCCCAACTGATGACCATGTATAATAAACCTAAACTTCTTAGAGTGTATACAGCGAGGCATAACAGGAAACCCGACAGGATGGAAGAGACGCAGTGTAACCTTCGGTTACCAGATGTCCAAACAGTGTTACCCGCGGTTAGCAGATGTTCTTCGAAGATCTGTCTGACGGCCCTGCGCCTTGGCAGCAGCTCTTCCTCTCTCCAACACACGTTTCTTTTGGATTTTCTTCCTTTTTTAAAGGGGTGGAGGCAACAAAGATTGTCCTCTCCATTCTCCCAAATAAAAGGGAGCACACCCAAGCTGGGCTGGACTCACATCTGAAAACCCTTTACTCTTTAACTCTTGTTCTGCTTTTTAGTCTCAGTTTCTCACAGTCGAAGGCCTGGCCAGCTCACAGCATGTGATTTATTTGCCTTTTGGGCTGCCTCTGCCAAATAGGAAACATAAGTAAACATTTAGGGCTTAGCATTTTGGGGTGGATGTAATCATGACTCTGCAGGGTGTGCTGCGCAGACAGCCATGATTTCATATTTAGGTTAATTTGACCAAACCTGGAAGAAGTTATTAGTCAGGTCTGACCAGCTGTTTAAGAGGCAATCTATCTTTATACACACTACTAAGGAAACAAAAGTGTGGGAAACTTTAGTTTTTCATGTAATGGGGAGCTCATGAGTGTGACACATCTGTAAGGTAGTTTCTTACTGTCACCACTCACCACTTTAAAGAGCAGTGTGAGAGAGGTGGTTTCATTGATTGAATGAAAAATGAAATGTATGGTTCATGTTTTCTCACGACCAACTAATTTATGTCACTAAATCCACATGTTGGGCCTCTCACAACATCTGTTTGCTGAGCAGCATTTTGATTTAGTAATGACATCAGGAAATGTGTCTTTTCAGCAAAGGAGGAGCTCAGAGTTGGGGGGAGTTGGCAGGGGGAGGAGGGGGGACAGTCAGGGGAAAGGGGAAAAAAAGGAAGGCACATGATGAGGAACAGTGAAAGGGGCGCTGCTCCAAAGTTCCAGTTGTTTCACAATTCAGAGTTCATGCGTTGATCACAGACGTTGCATGGGGTGAATGACGAACAAATTCAGGAAGTTGAGCCAGGTGGGGGCTGCTCATAATGAGGTTTAAGTTAACCTTTAACCCCAAACCATTATGGGCCTCATGTCTACTGCTGTTGACCCCTCACTGGTAGAGACCTCCCCAGGAGTTTGTCTTGGATTCACATGATAATACACACAAGGCGATCTTGGCAGAAAGCAGGATCTCTGAGCTCTGCTTTCTGTGTTTGTCAGTTCTAGGCCAAGCAAATGAGTTTAAGGAACTGATCAAAGACAATCCTCCAGTGGACACAAATATATAATCACTATTTGTAACTGTAAATTATAGAACATGTAAATATGATTCATGTATACCTACTTATCAAAATAAGATTAAATCAAAACCTAACCATTAAGATTGTAGGTGACTAAAATAAGTAAACTTACTAGCAATCATCATCTTGGTTGAGTCATATCCTGTAGAGAAAGGAGTTTAGGTTAGTCTTTTCAGTCATGCTTAGACATATTGTTTTATTTCTTAAAATATACATACCTATTGTTGTGACAGGTTGCATTGCTACATTTTCATCAACCAGACAAACCACTGTTGTACATCCTGCCATAAGAGAAATAAAGCTGTAGGGTCAATGAATCCTCCCTCCTTCCTGCCACTGCTTTAAGGAAATCTCATCTCAAGTACATTTAAACTCATAATATATTCTCCTCACACAAAAATCAAAGATATTATTTCATAAATAGTAGCAATTAGTAACTACACTCTTAAAATAAACAGCGACAATCTGGTCATAATATTCTCAACAACTATTATAACACAGAATGTAAAACAAATTTCTGTCTTAGCTTGATCAATATAACTCAATGACCCTTAAAGCAAACTGTAAGTATAAAGTAAAGTAAAAGTATAAAACTCAATCACGAGACTCACAAAGCTCCTTTCTAAAAGCCACTCAATCACTGAAAGCCCCTATGCATTCCTCTTGAGAGGTGAGATAGAGGGCAAGGGAAGAAGTTATATCAAAAGAGTGAAGAAATGGACAGTGTAAATCCTCTACTTACCCCAGATGAGAAGAGCCACAAAATACCCAGAAAATATAAGTGAGAAACTAGGGGCTGTCATTTTGCCTGACAATGCTGTGTCCGTCTTCCCTGGTTGGTAGGGATTACATATCTCAACCTTTCTGCAGGAAGTCTATATAAAACAACAGGAAGCCCTCATTTCCTAGGTTGGGCGGATTCACACACAGAGAGCCTCTGATAAGGTTAGAACTACTGTGGTCCATCGGTACACCACCATCACTCTCTCTCTCTTTATCTTCTCTCATCCCGCCCTCTGTTTCCAAACAGAAAGAGAGGAGTTGGGGAGAGTCCCACTCTTTCTTTTCCTCCCACCCTCTCTCTGTCTCTACCTTTGCCTTTGATTAACATTTTTATCAGTACAAGCAATATTTAGATGTCAATAATCTTGACTGAAAGGACTCATGCAGTTATTTGAATATCTGACAACGACTTTTTTATGTTGCATGTTTCGCTTGAATGGAAACTTGGAACAGTAATTCTGCATTGAGTAAATTTTATCACTAGGAGCCATGAAGCCAATGAACAGCAGAAGAGGTGGTTGTTAATCAAAATCCAAAGGATTTTTACTGCTATTACAGAATATTTTATTCTAACCCAAAAACTCTAAATAATGAAAGTACAAACAAATTGTACATTTACATTTATGAAGAGCACTCAACAGAGTTTATTCCACACATTTTTCTTCCTTGTCAAATGGTGCCTACCTTACCCACAACACAACTCAATTCAGTTGGAAATTTGGGAGTATTATGCTAGTGGTGACTAATGTCATTAGCCTCAAGCAGCTATAAGGACCTAGATACAGAGGTCACTTCTTTCTAATTCCGTACCGTCTATTTTTTTAACTTGAGGTCATCATCTCTAACCAAAGCTGATTCAAGTGACATCGCTCAAGGTAAGACTGAGGTAAGATTTTGCACAGCTCCTGCCACAAAAGGCAATAAAACTATATTCTCATATGAAGTGGTACTCCCCAAGATCAGTAAACAGACTTTCATGTGTAACATTGTTGCAGTTCCACTTTAATATGTCATCATTGGAGGCTAAATCTTCCAGATTATGGATTTGTGTTTTTGTTGTTGCATGAGATTTACTTGAACACTGGTGGTAAGTAAGGAATATGTTTCTTTGTATCTGTGTTACACCATCAGAGCTGATAACAAGCACCCCCACATACCTCCTCTGACTTTGACGTCACACTGAGCTTCTGTGCTAAAGAGGGGCTGCAGGGATCTCCAGTATGAAACTGACGCACTTATCCACGTCACTGAAGGATGAGTTCTCTTTCTCAGCTCCTTGGCTTGGGAGAAAGCCAGGTACTGTAGCTCAGGGCCAAAGTTGCTTCCCCTTTTCATTTCAGTTTAAGGAGGCCTCTCTTTTTGACTTATAACTGCATTACTTTTAAAAATCCCATAAAGAGATACTTAAATCCATCTGAATCAAACTTTCAGCGTAAGTGAAGTTTAATAGATAAATGGATTGGCCTGCGAGGAGGAGCTTAATACATTTTAAATGTTCTGTTGAGGGAAGACACAGTGCAAGTTTACTTGGCAAGTGCTTTTACATCAGTCAGTTTTAAATGACTTTAGACTATTTCCTCAGCTACTTTGTGAATCTTTTAATCTCCAAGCCTTTGTCACAGATCATAAAAGGTGCACCATATCTGAAGACACAAGTCCCTCAATGAGAAGCGCCAAGATCAACACACACAGTTTACATTGCAAAGAATTAAAAACGTCCTGCTGGTAAGGGCCTCACTCCCAAAGCTTATCTTCCTATGAAAGTTTGCTTGTTTGACAGCTCAGTATCAACATGGCACGAGCTATTTCAAATACCACTGAAGGCACGCCAAGCCAGCTGAGATACTTCCGCTCACTGAATGCATAATTAATAACCAGGAATGCATGACATTAGCAGAGAGCAGAAAGGATCAACAGCAGCACAGCAAGGCACTCATGTCGGTTTAGCGTAATATCAGACCAAACCATGCCAAGCCACGTTTCTTTGTCCAGATTAGAGGTGTATGTTTGAGCACACGTTGTGTCATGGGATGAAAAGTAGCTAAACAGTGCCATCTAGTGTGCCAAACAAGTAGCAATTTTGTGATTTCATTTTATCCATTTTGTATTGTTGTTGTTTTTTTAAGAAATTCACCAGAAAATAAATAAACTGTTGTAAATATTCACTGAATAATAAGCACTTAAATTTTAACAACTTGTAAGATACATTACATTTGACAGTATAGTTTACATGTATGCCTACACTGATATTCGACTTCCCAAAATTGACAACACACAATTATAAATATGTGAATAAAGAGTCACTGAAACAGTCGTGAGAAATGACATTCACTCTATTCATGAAAATATTGTAGTTAAGTCTCAAACACCCTTGGAATTATTGAGGGTTTTTTTCTCTTTGAGTTAGAAAGCTAAATATCAGATGTTTTCCTAACATCCTGAATTCCAGTGTCTGTGAAACAGAGAGGTTTCTGTTAGAATATCTATTGTAAGTTGTCATAAATTGATGGATATTCAATTATAACATGCATCATTTTGGTTATATGGAAAAAGCTTAAGTTTAAAAGATAAGTGTTCCCTGCTTCTCCAAAGACTATAAATGAAATGCTGATCTAATACTTAATGATTAATGCTTAATCATTAAAACTATGGTGAGGTTTACAGTAGGTAAACTAACAAGTCCGGATAAGAAAATTAACCTCATTTGGATGGGAAACATCAACCAGCAGGCGGTGAGTTTAAAGTCACCTCAGGAAACTGCTGTCACCTACATGCTGAGTGGAGGTGTTGCATGTGCCTCTGAAAGGAATTTGTTTGTTTTTTTAAAGTTAATGTAACGTATCTGTAACACAAGCCAAGTGCAGGTAAAGGCTATAACACATGCTCTAAATAATTAATAATCACAACATGCTCCACTGATCTCACTCTACCACCAGTTTGCATGTGGTTTGTTAAAGGATGTGACATTGGTGAACTTTCCAACACGCACAAGATATATTTCATCACCATCTGTGTAAACATTTTAAAATCAGTTTTATATTTACAGTAGATGTTGATATAGGCTATCGTTTAAGGATTGCTTTGTAAATTGTGGCTTTAAATGATGCCGCTCCTTCCACTCATCAGTTTAAGCATTACCACAAACATGTTTTCCACTGAAGTTAGGATTTTACGTGGAGTACGTGACAGCATCATTTTCCCGAGGTCCGTCATCCACCCCCCCTCCCCCTCTCTCTCTCTCTCTCTCTCCCAAAACAGAAGCTAAAATGCGTTGAGCTCCCCCTGGAGGAGGAGTGCGGAACAACAGCTAAACTGTTTCCCATCCGCTAGAACTCCACTGTAGGAGTTTTGAACTATTGATCCTTTTAAATTCTTTCTCTGACACACTTTATTTTGTCTGCTCAACCTGCGCAACCGGGGTAATTATTACTATTATCTAAATATGTTTTCCAGTTTTGTGTGCCGTCTATTTTGCCTTGCTATTTCAAAAATCACTATAACATTCCTGCGAGATTGCTTCATGTATTTATTTTACACATGAACACGCCGATCTAAACCCGTATGAGTGTTATGCCCTCACGCGTTTAGATGGCGATCTAGCACTCTGGACAGTTGCATCAGTTCCTGTGTGTGCGTGTAAATGGCTGTGCCGTGGCTGCTCCACGCTACTTTTTATTCCCAGGGCGCAGAATAGTCATAAATCCTCCTCTGCTAGGAAAGGCTGTGATCATAATAAAGACGTCACCCTCCTGCTCGGGTTGGCTCAATCCAAGCCAAGTGCGCAGCTATTTGTAAGCTACAACAACAACAACCTCCAGCACCATGCCCATGGATAACGTAGGGATTTCTCTGAGATCCCCTCGCCGTGCGAAGACGATATCTGCGTCAGATCCATAGTAAAGACTGCCTTTAATTTCTCCGGATCTCTCTACTAAAAAAAAAAAATACAGANNAAAAAAAAAAAAAAACAGACAGGGACTTGATCGCGTTGCGGGCTCCTGTCGCAACAAATAGGACGCAAGACTTGGATTTTAAAGGTATTTAACAACTGCGACACTGGATATAGATGTAGACGTGCACACGCGTCCGCTACAATAACGTGCTGTCATTGTGGTGCTCGGTGCGCACGTCTTTAAAGTATTCCACATTTAAATGGATACTGTGTAGCTACGGGGCTGCAGCTACAGGACGTAGCGCACTTCATAGCTGTGGCTGAAACGTGTGCACGACTCATAGTCCAGGAAAAAAAAAAGCACTACAGCAGTTTCCCGAGCTCAGTTTTAGCTTTGTACTTATTT